GGTGGCCTAGTGGCAAGAAGCTGCACTGCAATCCCGTAGGTGTGTGGTTCAAATCCACCAGATGCTCTGCTGAAGAAGGAGGGACAATCTCCTCCTGTACCAGTCAGATCTGATTTGACGGTACACACACACAAATAATAAAAAATAAAACAAACTACAGGCCATAAAGTAAGTTTAACTCATTGCCATTGAATGGGAATTGACTCATAGCTAACCTGCCAGCTGATTTTCAGAGGCTATAAATTGCAAAGGAGAAGATTATTCTTCTTTCTCCCTTGGAGCAGCTGATGGATTTGAACCACCTGCCTTTGGGTTGGCAAATCCCTCCAAACTAGACCACTAGAGTGCCCTATAAAGTAACTAGTGTTATTAAATAAATTATAAATTACTTAACTCCTCATAAGTGATCAGAAGGAATGAACTAGTCAAGTGGGGGGGGAAAAAAATCCCTCACTTGGGACAAGTGAGGAAGAATTCTCTGATAATATAAAGGATAAACAAGAATTGATGTACCACACCATGGTTATGTTTCAGAATGCAGTAGGAGACTATGACTTTCAGAGGCAATTTTGAGACTTGAATTAGTGTCTCAATTTCTTCCTGGAACAGCCAGCTAACATTTAGGGCTCAAAGCAGTCAGACATTGTCAGAGAACAATCCTTACCCTCAACTTTATCACTTGCCAAATCAATCAGTGGCAGGATGCCCAGCTTGTAAGTTAACGGTACTCTGCTTTAAGATCAAGAGGAAAGATTAGAGGGAAGGTGGGGATTTGACCAGTTGGTGTTACTTTTTTAATTTTTTGGCAATGTACCCTAAAAAGCAGACCTTTTTCCATAAAGTTCAATTCCACTGACTAGTCCATTTAAACAGAGGAGGGAGGATGATCAAAATACATCATTTCCCTGTTACTATTGTTTCTGTAGTTAACTCAGTTGTTGTTATATGCTGTTGAGTCAGAACTGACCCATAGCTGATCCTCTAGAGTATATTCAGAGGCAGTTAACTGCACTGGAGAAGACTGCCTATCCTTCTCCCTCAGAGCAGCTGGTGGATTTGAACCTTCAGGACTGCAGGGCAGCTTCTTACCCATAGGCCACCAGAGCTCCCTCAGTAGGTATCTGACATAAATGTGCATATTCCAAATATAAGTAAATAAGTACTTATAGAGCACATTGGAAAAAATGAACATAGATTATTTCCAGAGAGTATTATTTTACCCACTGCTGTCAAGTCACTACATCATATAATGGAAAACAATGGATATTTTAAAGGTTATGTAAATAAAAGTTATATAAGAACAAAGCCTACGGTATTCAACTTTTTTTGTTTGGTTGGTTTTGTTGGGGTTTTTTGGTATTTAACTTTTGAAATATTATTTTCCATTTTTAACTAGTTTAAAACTAGATAACTAGTTTTTAAAAAGGCAAAAGTATTATAACTTTGGAAACATTATAAGATGATCTCAATGCTTCTCAATCAACTCCGTTTTAGTGGTAAACACAACTGAAGATCTTCTATAAACACACTTATATTTCTAAACAATCTGACAACTTTCTGACCGTTTTTTATGCACCTGATCTTCATAATAACCTAAAAGATAAGCAAGACAAATGGTCTCCACTTTATGTTGTTGTTTTTGTGTGAACTGACTCATAGCTGACCCTCTAGCAAGTTTTCAGAGACTTTAAATCACATGGAAGAAGACTGCCCAGTTTTCTCCCATGGAACAGCTGGCAGACTCAAATTCAGCACAATGTGGGTTGAAAGTACAATTCCTAACCACTAGGCCATTGGTGCTCCCTTAGAATAAGACTGTTGTTAGGGGCTATCATGTTGATTATGACCCATAGCAACCCTATAAACAACAAATGTGAACACTGTACTATTCTGTGCCATTCTCACAAACTCTCACGTCCTGAAGACAATTGCTGCAGTCACTGTGTCGAATCAATTTGGCTAAGGGTCTTCCTCCTTTTTACCAACCCTGTACCCTTCCAAGCATGATATCCCTCCCCAAGGAATAGCCACTCCTAGCAACATACCCAAAGCGTGTGAGATGAAGCTTTACCACCTTGCCCCTACGTGCACTATGGTTCCACCAGAGTAAGATTACTACCAGTGAAAACCAATAACATGGAAACAACGGAAATACACAATGTTGGTATGTGATTCTAACGGCAAAAGACACATTGATACTCATATGTCATCCTTGAAGCTTAATTACACACACATATACAAACACAGATAAACAAAGTAAGAAATAATAGTGTATTTTATAATAGGGCATGTACCTGATCCAGGCCATAGTCTTTGCAATAGCCTCTGTCATGTGTCAGAAAGCTGGACAATGACTAGGGATGACAGAAGGAGAATTGATGCCTTTGCACTGTGGTGCTGGGGAAGAGTATTGAATATACTGAATAGACTGCTAAGAGAACAAACAGGTTTGTCCTAGAGAGAGAGACCAGGCTGCTCCTTGGAGGCAAGGATTCTGAAGCTTCGTCTGACATACTTTGGACATGTTTCAAGGCAAAACCAGTCCTTGAAGAGTGACATCATGTTTGGGAGAGTGAGGAACAGCACAAGAGAGGAAGATCCTTGATTTATTCAGTGACGGGGGTAATGGGGATGGGTGTGTCAAGAGACTGTAAGATTGGCACATGATAGAGCAGGGTATAGGGCTGTTGTACATAGGGGTCACTATGAGTCACAGGTGACTTGACAACACCTAACAACAACTTAAAACTTCTGAGTGGGAAGCTAGGACAATTACTGAAGTCACTTATTAGATTTGACCATTATCACCTTATTAGATTAGACCATATCACATCCATTGAGTCAAATGGATTCCAACTCATAGTGACTTGGTGATCACATGTATTACAAAGTAGAACAACTGTTCCATGGGGTTGTCTTAGCTCTAATCTTTATGGAAACAGATGGCCAGGTCTTTCTTCCACAGAACTGATGGGTGGATCTGAATTACCAACCTTTAAGTTAGGAGCCCACCACACCTCTTTGTGCCACACAGAGACTTTCATAAATTATACATAAATATGTTGGGTATATCTGTGACATTTTAACTCTTTTTACTTGCCATTCTTTTCACTCCATTTATTCAATCTGTATGCTGAATAATCTAAGAAATTGAGTTATGTGTGAAGAAAACAGTACCAGGAAGAAGACTGATTAACAACCTGTGATCTGCAGATGATACTGAACGTGAAGACCTGAACTGCTTACACTGATGAAGATCAAAGATTAAGGAAATAAAAGATTAAAAACAACAGCCTTCAGTATGGATTATTCCTAACATAAAGAAAACAAAATCTGCACAACTGGACCAATAAATAACATCATAATATTTGGGGAAAATATTGAAGTTGTCAAGGATTAATCTTACTTGGATCCACAATCAATGCTCATAGAAGCAGCAGTCAAGAAGTTAAATTACCTACTGCACTGGAAAAATCTGCTATAAAAGACCTCCTTAATATTATAGTTGTCACCTTGAAGACTTAAGAGTGCCTGACTCGAGCCATGGTATTGTTAGTCACTTCATATGAAGTCAAAAGCTGGCCAATGAATAAGGAAACGTAAAACACATTTGTATGGTGCTGTAAAGAATACTGAATATACCATGAACTGCCAAAGCAAATCTGTCTTGGATGAGGTACAGTCAAGATGCTTATAGAAGAGGAGGATAGTAATAAGACTTCACCTTGCTTACTCTGGACATGAATCAGAAGAGACTAGTGTCTAGAGAAGGGCATTATACCTAGTAAAGTAGAGGGCTGACAAAAAACAAAAAAAAAAGACACACACACAAAAAGGAAGATTCTCAAAGAGATGACTGACATAGTGGCTACAGCAAAGAGCCAAACAAAATGACTGTGAGGACTGTGCATCAGAACCAACTCCATGGCACCTTAACAATAGCTTGTCAATTTTTGTTAGAAGAGAGGTTATAGTCCTGAACCATGTTTTAGAATATAAATGCCAAGCAATGTTAAACAAGTTTCACATTCATCTCGGAAGAACAGTTAAGACTGATCGAAATTAGCCATTACACGTGTTTATACATCAAGGCTTCAATACAATGAAAACACATTATTACCCAATAAAGAAAAAGCAAAGATTAGCTGTTACCTTGGAAACTGGAGAGTGGACAATCTAAAACTCCTTTTTTGCAAGACACTTTACCAGAGAAACGAGTTTTTATTTTCTTTACACAACCTCATCCTGTCATAAACTAAGCCGGTTTTTAGCCTTTGGCAAATCCACATGTTGGGGATGGGGCGAAGTTCGAAGGAACTGATTTGTAGTTTTGGAAGATAGCATGCTCCAGTTCCTTTCCCAGCCCTGCCCTAGGGGTGACCTTGGAAAAGGTCCCCTGCTCTGAGCCTCGATTTCCCTCTCTCCTTCATTTGCATGCTCGGAGCGTGGGAGTGGGACCGGCTCCCCGGGACTGCAGACATCAGGGCTGCAGTCGTGCGTCCAGCTCACGGACGCCTTCAGTTCCCGGGCTCGTCGTCCAAGCCCGTCGCGAGGTTCGCCCCACTGGCTCAGCCCCAGGCCCGTTCCGGGCCGTCCGTGCCCGGTGCCCCTCTGTGAGGGACCCCAGACCCACACAGCCCTCCCCTCGAGTGCCTCACGATCACCCTCCCATCCGAGAAAGGCTCCGTCTTCCCCTCATTCTTATCCTGGTCCTTCCTCCTTCAGAGAATCCATGACACTGCTTTCGCTACACAGCTCGAGACCCTCCATCCTGGCACTTGCCTCGAGACCCCCCCGTCCTCCGCTCAGGAGACCTTTTTTTTGACACCGCACCGCCTTCACCTCCGGGTCCCTGGTTCATACACGCCCTTCCTCCTCCAACTCTCACCTATCTCTCCACCCGTCAGCCTTTTGCAGAGCTCCAGTGGACCCTCGGCTCTAGTCAGGGGAGAAAATAGCCTCCCTCCCCTCCGCCTTCGGCATCTGGGGGACCCTCTCACCTCCGCGGTGAGAGATGTGTTTACTCAGGAATCGCTGCTTCTTTTTCTGGTGCAGCAGGGTCGGGTATTTGAGCAACAAGAATGAGGTTACCAAGTACCCTCCCAGGGTGGAGAGAAGGTAAAACGCCGCGGTGGACGACATTTCAGCCACTGTGCGGGAAGTCCCCCACCTCCGGGCCCTCTGAACTCCGCTGCGGCGGTCGCAACGGTGGCGCCGGCGGCTGCTCGAGGTCTGCTCGCCCCCAGCTGGTGCCAGCTGCGCAGCGCACTTGTCTCCTCCCGCCCACTGCGCAGGCGCAGCCAGACCCCACCGCCCGAGCAACAAAGGGGCTCTGGCACGCAGGCGCGCTCCGCCTCCTGGGAAGGAATTCTGAAGGTTCCGATTGTCAGTGCTGGTCACCTAGCTTTAGTAATTGGACTTGCCGCGTTTGGGAGGAGCTCCGAACTTGGAGCCTCCGCCTTCACTCATGCAGTAAATGGCCATTCAAGAACAGCCTCCAAGACTGTCTCAGAAAAACTGTGAAAACCCAGAACAAAAGAAAAAGTCACCCAGTTACCATACATGCCATAAAATGTACTCTTAAAGAAAATTCATTGCTCTTAAGTTGGAACTGGCTGATTAGCTGACCCTTCTGAAGATTTTCAGAGGCTGTAAATCGCATGGGAGGGGATGGCCCATCCCTCTCCTCCGGAGCAAGCTGGATCCCAAACACTGGCCTTTGGCTTGGCAGCACAACCCCCTACTCACTTGGCCACTGGTTCCTATATATTTTCGAATCGGAACAGATTCATATGTGAGTCTCCAGAGGGTTTTCAGAGGTAGTAAACCGCACAGGAGGAGATTTAACTCCCACAAAGCAGTTGGTGGATTCGAAACACCTGCCTTTGATTTAGCAACACCACTCCTTTACCTTTAAGCCACCAAAGCTCCATAAAATGTACTATTTCAGTCAGATATTTAGCACCCGACTTCGGCTTCATAGGGAAAAAACAATTCCTCTGCCTTGTGCACAATAGGCTTTTAAGAAATAATTTGCTAAATTAAAGTTCATGTAAATAAACTTAAGCAAGGCAGTGGTATATCATTGAAATGTCCCAGAAAGACCGAGAATTAAATTCCAGAAAGTCCTTTTTGTTTTCCTTTCATTTCACATATTCCAAATTACTAAGGCACTATTGTGTACCGTCAAGTTGGTGCTGACTCACATACGACCCTCCAATGGGTTTTCAGAGGGAGTATATTGGACAGGACGACATTGCCCATCTAAATCTGTCTCCCTCAGAGCAGCTAGTGGATATGGATCACTCGTCTCAGGGTTGGGAGTGCAATTTCTTATCCCCTAGGCCACAAGAGCCCCTTTTCATTATTAATTGTTGTTGTTACGTGCTCTTGAGTCCAGTAAGGCTTATAGTAACCCTATGAACAACAAATCTGAACTATGACCTAACTAACATAACTTGTGCCATTCTCATCACCTCTTACACACTCGAGCCCAATGTTGCAGTCATTGTGTCATTTATTAATGTTGTTGCTATGTGTCATTTTTAATATGTGTCCTATTTTTCCTGTTTGCTACCTTAATGTTGCTAAGGTTCTGTTCTTGCAGACCTGCTCCCTTTGGTAAGTATCCCTCTTGCCCTTGCCAAATGTAAACCTATTAAAATTTTTTTAACAATTATTTTAACCCTTCTTAACACTTTCAGGTACAAGCCACCAGACACCCCTATAGGGTAATAATGCCTTAGTAAAACTATTCTAAGGGCTCTCTCATGTCATGATCTTGTCAAGTATGCCATAGAACTTTTACCTCCAGCAATGGTGGTTAATGGCCTTTGTTTCCAGATTATTCCAGTTTAAAGATGTTTTAACCCAATTCCTTTAATCAAGCATAAGGCCCAGAATTTAAACTTTCTGCCTTACTACTTTGTTAGGAGACCTAATCAAGTAAATGACAGTGTTTTAATCTTCATCATCTACCATGGGGACCTCCTCCAGTTTGGATTTGGTTGTGGGTTGTTGTTTTTTTGTTTTGTTTGTTTGTTTGTTTTGCCTGTTAGGTTTATTAGATTTTTTTAAAACAGTCAACAACTAAGGAAATTTACTTATGTTATTATTAGTTTTGAAATGCTGACTTTTTAATCTCCTAGTAAAATCGGAAATGTCCTTTTCCAAGGACTGGGTCCATCCTAACAACATGTCCAAAATACTTGAGACCAAGTATCACCATCTCTGCCTCCAATGAACTATTCAGGCTGCACTTTCTCCAAGACATATTTGTTTGTCCTTTTAACAGTCCATGAGATATTCAGTACTCTTCTCTAACACCGCAACTCAAAGGCATTGATTCTTTTTTTGCCATCCTTATAGTCTAACTTTCAAATGCATAACAAGCAATTGAAAAGATGATAGGCAGAATCAGGTCTGGAAAGCAAGGAAGACCCTCAACAGGACAAATTGACATATTAATTACTGGATTGTGCTCCAGTAAGCCTAGTCTTTCTAATTTTTTTCTTTGTGATTTCACTGAAAATTATGGAAAAGATGGGTTTTCATTAATTTATTGATACACATTTTCTTCCCTCCACCTCCTCCAATTCACTTTATAGTGCAAGTCTTGTTCCAGATTGTTGCCTTTTTTTTCAAGTCTTCCTATTTTTTATTTCCCCATTTAGGAGATGTATTGAATTGGAAAAGTCCACTGTAATGAATATCTCCAAAGTACTGAAGAGTAATGATGACAGTTTGAAGACTAACGTGTGCTCAGTTCAGACTATAGTTTTTTTAGTCATATGCTATGCATCTCAGAGCCAGACAATGAATAAGGATGACAGAAGAGTTGATGCCTTTGAACTGTGATACGGGAGTACTGGATATCCCATGGACTGCCAAAAACATAGATGTCTTGGGGAAAGTGCAGCTAGAGTGCTCTTCAGAGGCAAAAATGGCAAAGCTTCATCTCTCATACTTTAGCCATGTTGCTAGGAGAGGCTATTCCTTAGAAAGGGACATCATGCTTGGAAAGGTGGAGGGTAAGAGAAAGAGAAAGACCCTGAACAAGATGGACTGACACCGTGACTGGAGCAATGGACTTAAATGTGTCAGAGATGATAAAGATAGAACAGCTAGCTGATGGACTGGCAGTCCTAATTATGACAATAGGAATCTGGTAGTGTATTAGAGTATGGTTCAACTATTTAGAGGACTATTTAGGAATATATTTAAAAATGTAAAATGTGTACATCTTTTGACCCATTGATTTCAGGTCTATGAGTTATTCTACAAAGAAAACTTCCCAGATTTTGTATGTTGTACTATCAAGTTGTGTACTACCATGTCAGAACTGACCCACAGCTGACCCTCTGGTGGATTTTCAGAGGCAATTAATCATATGGGAGGAGATTACCTGTCCTTCTCCTGTAAAACATCTGGTGGCTTTGAACTGCATGCCTTTTTGGGACTGTAGCGCAGCTTCTTGCCATTGTGAGTTGACCTTGATGTTTCTTGAGTCCCTTGACCTGAGGATCCATTATGAATATTTTGGCTTTTTTAAAAGGCTATTTGTTAGTTGGGTTTTTTTAAAAAAGTGTGCACACCCATGTTTATTGTGGCTCTGTTCACAATAGCAAGGAGGTGGAAACAACCCAGGTGCTCATCAACAAACGAATGGATAGAGAAGCTGTGGTATATTCACACAATGGAATACGACGCTGCATTGAAAAACAAGGGATTCATGCAATATTATTCAAAATGGGTGAGCCTGGAGGACATTATGCTGAGTGAAATATCTCAGTCGCAAAAGGACAAATATTGTACGGTGCCACTGTTGTAAAATGGGATTGATATCAGAGTTGGGGTAAGACTAAGAAAAACAGGATAAATTGTGTATACTGCACTGAAACAGATAAGGGATAGAATAATTTTAAAGTGATGTATGATAGGGTATTATGACTATCACAAGAGTCCACAATTAAGGTTGCTTAGTGGAATGTACTTGGGGCGGTGGGAGGGGTGCGGGGGGATTGTGTACCAGGGAAGGAGTGCTTCTTTTACTTTTGAAAGAGAGGAGTGAACTGTGGGGTGGGGAGAGGGCTGGGGAGGGAGAGAAGTGCAGCAATGAATGAATGGAAATCCAAAATCTCTGTAAATGCTCATTAAAATTATTTTAAAAATATAAAATAAAATAAACTGTAAAAAAAAGTGTCATTACCCATGATACTGCAAAGAAGCCTCTGAATCTTTGTGTCCTCTCAGATTTCTGTAGCCAGGTTCCTAGAAATGAGATTAGTGG